GAGGGGGAGGGGGAGGGGATCCAATGCAACTAAAATAGACACAATTAATCAGTTTGTTTGGTTTCAGTTTTTAGAAAACAGTTTTAAGAAAATTCTACTTTTTCATTTTTCGTATTTTAATGTTTTCAATGAATTTTTTTAATATTTTAAGCAATTTTTTTTTTAATTTTTAGATATACCTAACATAAATATACCTAAAAAGTAAAAAAATTGTGAAAAAAACCTTTTAAAAATTTACTGAATACCAAAAATATGAAAAAAAATACGAGAATTCAGTACATTTTTTGTATTTTTATGTATTTATTAATTTTTTAAAATATTTTTTCACAATTTTTGTACTTTTTAGATACATCAAAGTAAGGTGCATCTAAAAAAATAAAAAATATATTTAAAATTTTAAAAATATTCACTAAAAACAAAAAAATACGAAAACCAAAAAATTCAATTTTCAAAAAAATGAATTCAGAAAACAGAAACCAAACACACTGAATAATTTTCTTAAACATTGGGTTGGTTCATTTGGCTAAATACTGGAAGGTATAAAAATAAAATAATGATTGCTCATTATACAAATAAAATTATGTGCATGATCCTGTCCATCATTGTTAAATTGCTAATTCATCGCTCTCAGCTTCAGATTTATGAAAGATTAGTCTTCCATTTTTTTTAATGAATCGATAGTTTTCAGTATCCAAGTGACAGTGATATTCATATCCAAATGAGTTCATGCTTTAAATGAGGCCAAAATATGAAGTTCTTTCACTAAATAAAAAATAATATATTGGTCACTTATTATTATTAATATACAAGTATTATATATATTTTTTAATTAAAAATGAAAAGGCAATGCATGCAGGCCACAACTCTCTAATTACTTCGGGTTATCATTTAGTTACAGTTTTTTTTTTTATTATTATTATTTAAAATATCAATTTCAATTTTGAAAAACTTTTTTTCTCGTCCTAGACAGCGGCAATTAATATAGTTAACCCTATTTAGGCAATGCATGCAGGCCACAACTCTCTAATTACTTCGGGTTATCATTTAGTTACAGTTTTATTATTATTATTATTATTTAAAATATCAATTTCAATTTCGAAAAACTTTTTTTCTCGTCCTAGACAGCGGCAATTAATATAGTTAACCCTATTTTAGGGTAAACTACTAATAGATCCTAATAGTTGGATTTAATTTCTATCAAGTTCTATTAAAAATAAGTTCTAGCAAAATCATCACTAGAAATAATTTTTTGTGACATTTTTTGCATGTCACTAAAATTAACAATTAGTGACTTTTTTTGTCACGATTTTTATAAATTATCGCTAAAAATTACAATTTAGTGATTTTTTCTGTAACGAAATTTTGAAATTATCACTTAAAGTTAAACATTAGTGACATTTTTTGTGACGAATTTTTTAGGCTATTGCTAAAATTTACAGTTAGTGACATTTTTTTGTGATAATTTTTAAACTGTCATTGAAAATTAACAATTAGTAACTTTTTTAATAATATTTAATAAAAAAATTCATTAATTCTCAAAAGATCTTTTGGATAATAAATTCATCTATTAGGAAATCCCCCCATATTTATGAACAATTCATACCTATGGAAAACAACTATCTATAACTTTTAAATACTGCCTACTTTAATTTTCTTTCTGGTGCTTAATTGACTTCCTTTGTACACTGTTATTATTAACTAGGCGATTAATGGGTCAATCTTTTCAAAATGCAAATATTGATAATTAATCTTTCATTATTTGAACTCGTTGTTATGTTGATTGTATGGTTTGTTGCATTGTTGATAATTCTTATATTTTTGCTCGTGTTATTTTAGTTCATATAATTTCAATTAATTCAATTTTAATCATAAATTTATGATTTTGTTTGATCTAATTAATTTTCATTGTTAGTGTTTTTTTATTTTTATTTTTATTTATTTTATATATATGAAAAATGTGCACATAAGCGGCATGTATTATATTTTTATAAGTAAAATTGTAAATTTGTTCAATTTAGTAAATGAACCTCAACCAACTCAATGACTATTTTTCTTCAAAAATCCTAATTGACGTTATCACTTGGACTAAATTAATACAAAATTTAAAATTAAGAATCAAAATTGAGCGAATTAAATTACAAAGACCAAAATAATGCAAGGGCAAAATGCAATTGTTGATATATTTCCTATTGCGAGGCTTTTTATTTGTTTGATTATTGAGTTATTAGGTATTAAAGTGAAAAATATACACTTATGGGGCCATGTGTTATGTGGTCCAAGAGTTAATCTTATTTGGTGATAAAGACACATTTTAAAAAGTTGATGATATTAGAAAAATTGTCAAAAAATTGGCTAAAAAAGTCCTCGGTGGCGGATGGCAGGTGTGTGAGTCGATTTCTGACTACACTGCCAAACTGGTACTCAGCTGGAGAGCATTGGCAGAATAGACTAAGCTTGAACGACCTATTACAAAAAGAAGAGATTCCGGCGGTAGTTTGTCCACCTGGGGCACTCCGACGATCAAGTCAATTATCTCTCAAAGAAAGCAAAAGTGCTTAACTCACTATTCAGAATATCCAAAGCATCCCTTAGACCCATAAGGGTGCCTCTCTTATATAGCCAACACTGACCTAATCCCAATAGAAGCCTAACTTCAATAGATTCTGTCTTAATGTTAATCTTGGACTCCCAGTTAGATTGAGATAAACTCTCTAAGAGTCCTATCCTTATCCAAACTGAATTCCTCTCCAATTCTAGGACTCTTGTCCCTTATCCGCTTATCCCGGATTCCGGTATTTCTGCAGATAACAGCAGCCTAGCCGAGATTATCTCGACATCATGACCCGGACATGTGGCACCTCGGCTGACACTTCGGTGCCACCTCGGCCACGTGTTTGTCATTCAAAAATTATGTCCCATAACTGCTCCCTAGGTTCTATTACCTCAGTATACTGAGGTGATGAAACCTATATCATTTAAACCCATAGCACATCGGCTAAACGTGCTCTATCTTTCATTACCGAGGTTGCCACACATCGGCTTCCGTATGATAAACACTTCAGTGTGTTTGCATCAACGCTTTAGAACCAATAACCAAGTCTGTTCAAATTCATTGAGCCGAGATCGCCCCCGTAGCCGAGGTCTTTGCTTCATTAAATCAAGAACCCTAAGAGTTTCATCACGTGTATGAGCTGTCACGCACAGTATTTCAACCGTTTCTGCCACGCGTCTTTCCTCTACTGAGCCGTACCTAACACGCGCCATTAAGTCGCATCGCGCTTGCGTGCGCCGTCTGACAAGCACGTCGTCCTAGGCACATTGATGGTATTTTACAGCCATTCTCCGTGTTTGATCAAAATCACCTTTCTCTCTCCGTCTTTTCACTTTTTCACCATTATTTTTGTGCAAACTCTCTCTCTCTACTCTCCCAAATCCGCCATTGCTTCAAGCCTTCAAGCTCTGTAACCACTTTCATTCTTCCCCTCCAGCGAAGCTTTTGCTGACCTTTTCCGATTGCTACCATCACTTGACTTCGGCGTACTCAACACCGGCTTCACTCCTCTGGTAAGCCATTGTTTCCTTTTGTTTCATTTTCTTACTTTAATTCAAACTGTTGCGTTCGTATTCTGTTACTGTGACTTCATTCATGTTCTTGAATCTTCGTTTATATTGTAAATTTTCCCTTACTTGCAATTTGTTTATGGATATATACCCGTATTCACATACTTGTTCACTTTGCCATTGTTTTTGGCCTTGCACCCATGTACACACTGTCACAGTGTTCTTGGTAGTTCACCAATTTTCTTGATTTTGAATTATTGTTCTTGTTTTTGTTTTCTGTGTCTTTTTTCCAGATTCTTGCCTTCAATCCCTGTTTACATAGACTTAGGTTTGGGATTTGTTGTAAAACTCACGAATTTTAGGAAAAACTGAAACGAATCCCCCTTAGATCTTTCAGAAAAATTTGCCCCAACACACTTGTAGTTTTTAGCCGAGGTCCCTCAAACCCCTACAAAACACTTCCTTCTGAAATCCAATACCTTCCCCTTAAGCTGACATCATGGGTATGTGGAGGTATAGGGTAGACACCCCAACCAAGTTAGAATATTTCAGGCAGGAGTTTTCCATCTCTGCCGACGTTCATCTCAGGTTGGCAGGGGAGGAGGACTCCATCATGCCTAACGAGAACTTCATGCCCTTCCCTATTGTAGCCTTCACAGAATGTGGACTCAGGTTTCCACTTGACATCCTTTTCCAAGAAGTTCTCCATTATTATAAACTCAACCCCATGCAATTAGCCATTAATTCCTACAGAGTTATCAACGACATAATAGCCTTAGCCAAAAAAAAGAATGCTAGGGTAACTTTAGCTGACATCCAGTACTGCTACACTATGTGCGGCCTTAGTTTAGAAAAAGGCTATATCTACTATCTTAAGCCGAGGTCGACCCAATACAAACTCATCGTCGACCTCTCTGATTCCAACAAGGGTGCTAGGGACGATTATTTCATCGTCTCGGGCAATTGGGAATTCTCACTAGATGAGGACCTCCATGTCTATCCCTTGAGTCGATCAGTTTTTAAAGAGGGTGATGGTAAGAGCCAAGAGTCACCTTACTTGCTTTCAAGTCTTTAACACTTTGTTCTTTCTATATATGTGTTGACGCTTGTTTTTTCTTGCAGCTTTTCCGCAACCAGCAAAGGATTTTCGGAAGTCCTTCTTTCCCAGCAAGGACCTTAAAAAGCTATTGGGTTTGCTAGTTGAGCGGCGGAAAGCTCCCTTGCTGCTCAACTACATCCCGACTTACAAATCCACCTTGCCCGACGTCCCAAAAAAGAGCAAGTCCCCTCCATCAGCTACAACTCCTCTAACAACTTCATTTCCTCGACCAGATTAGGGGTCAACCTCTGATCCAACAAAACAGCCATCGACCTCGGCTCCACAATTGATCCCTCTATCTCAACGCAAACGCCAACGTCGAACTACAATCGCTGTCGAGATGGGTCATAAGAAAGCTGTTGCAGACGACCTTTTAGCCGACATCCTCGACACTGTTACAGCACAACCAGCACCATCCCAGCCTCAGCCAAAGCCGAAACCAAAAAGGTTGAAGAAAGCCCAACCCAAGGCAACTGTGACTTAGATCGACACTGAGAACGCCTTGCCGATCTCCAAAATTGCTAAGGCGGAAAAAAGTGCCTCTGCCGCCGAAAAGAGGCCTGCCGAGGCCGTACCCTCCAAATCAACAAGGTCAAAGAGATCGAGGTTTGAGTCGGCAACAACCTCGGGCTCTCTGAAGTCTAATGCCCCCTGGGCTCCACCCATTACAATCGAGGATAAGCTTGTTAGAGCTAGCGACAGTGCCGATGATATTAAAGTCGACGTTGCCCTTTCTACGGCGTTGCTCCTTCCCCAAGATCTCAATCGCAACGTCGAGATGAGCGAGTATGAGAACTTCGCTCTAATGTTGCAGCACTCAGTACAAGTAAGCCCCTAATACTTGGTGTTTTACATTCTCTATTTTTCTTACTTAGAAAATTTTGCTAACTTTTATTCTGTCCATTTCTTCTAGGCGATCCAGCATGGCCACTCCTTTGCAATGCAAGCCTTCAACATTAAGAAGGAGTTGGCAAATAAGACCAAGGAGGCGGCCGGCTTGCAAAGGACCATAAACAAGGCTGAGGCCAAGATAAAGACTCTAATGAAGCAGGCCGAGGAAGCCAAAAAAGCTCAAGAAGAGGTCGAGGAGAGGGCAGGGGCTGCTGACGCCATTGCCAAGGTCCTCGAGGCCGAAAAGAAAGAGGTCGAGGCAAAGACCGCTGATGCCCAGGCCGAACTTATTGCTGCCCTGGCCACCAAAGATGCCGAGATTAAGGCCATGGACGAGAAGGCGTACGCCGAAGGGGCAGCCGACGTCAAAGAAGACTACAAAAGACAAGTCAGGAAGGCATGCAACAAGGGCTATACCCTTGGTTGGATGGCTGCTCTGAAGGTGTTGGCTATCCCCGAGGACTCCCCTCTCAAGAATGCTAGTAGCCTTGTCCTGCCATTCCCACTCACTCCAAGCCAGTCCGAGGACGAAGCTGAGTTCGAGGAGGTGGCTGAGGACAAAAAGACCGAGAAGGCCGAGGCTGCGGGGACCAAGTCCCCAACTCTGAATGAGCAAGTCCTGGACTTGACTCATAATGAGGAGGATGAGGTCTCAAAGGGTGCCTCTGTCGAGAAGACATCATCTGAGACGTCTATCGCCGAGAAGAGCCTCGACCAGACTCTTAAAGAGATTGACGCCAAGCTTGCGGCTGAGAAGGCTGCCGAGAAGAGTTCCTAGATGTCCTCTGAGCCCCAGACCTAACCAGCCAATGACGCTGAATAATCTAGTTTGGTTTTTCTCTTTTATTTTTTGTACCTTGTACTTTTTCTTACTTTTGAAACAATGTAAGCTTTAATTTGGCCGACGTGCCACTTTTGTAATCTGAACAATTACTCGTCAATGTCAGGCCAAGGTGCCTTCTTTCCTTGTCTGAATGCATTGTCTTATTTATTCTTTTAGTGTGATTGAATGTTTGTCTTCCTTTTTCTCTTGTATGATTCTGTACTTAGAATAATTTACGTGTCTTCAACGTACACCTTAACTGTGTAATCTTCTCGGTGTCAAATACTTCGGCTATACCCATTAACAGTTTATCTCAGCTTTGACCTAACACTTGAAAATATTTATCATAATATTTTCACAAGTGTTATTTACAACTTGCCATTTCACTCTTTACTTATTAGGACCTCTGTCTTCTATTATAACCTTGGGTTAACTTCAACTTGGAAATTTTTCTTAAGATTTCAACAAGTGTTAAACCAACTTCCTTTAACATAACCTCGGCTTAACTTCAACTTGTAAATTTTTCTTAAAATTTCAACAAGTGTTAAACCAACTTTAGCTTGTAAATTCCAACTCCCTAGTATCATTCTCCAGCCCTCTGTCCGCTAATGTGAACTTAAGTTCCACTTGGGTTCTCATTAAGCATGTGGCTTTGACCTTGTTGCGAGGTCAGATTCAAACAAAGACTGGCCGACGTTACCAACCTTGGTCTTTTTGTTAATCTGACTGATATGCACTTAGTTCCAATTTATGTCTGATTCTGCCGATATGATAAGTCCAGGTTAATCCAACTTAGTTCAACGCTATTATATGCAAGTATAATTTAACTCTGTCATATAATAAGTCTAAGTTATTCGTCATGTTTCACTTAGAAACATCGCCAACTTAGTTCAACTCTATTATATGCAAGTATAATTCAACTCTGCCAGATAATAAGTCTAAGTTATTTGTCATGTTTCGATCAGAAACATCATCAACTATCTGGTCAGTCACACTACACAAGTTTAAAAATCAAGCTAAAACTTTATTATTACTTCGGCTAATAAAAAAACAAAAGAAAACTTTAAAAAACAAGAAAATTTAGTGATAGAAAAACTTTAGATTGCAAGTATTCCAAGGTCTTGACAACTCTTTGCCTTCACTGTCTTCAAGCCAATATGCCTCATTGCCCAAGACCGAGATGATTCTATAGGGTCCCTCTCAATTCGGGCCAAGCTTGCCCTCTCTGGGATCCTTCTTGTTGCCGACGACCTTTCTTAAGACGAGGTCACCGACTTGGAACTCTCGTGGGTTCACCTTCTTATTATAAGCCTTGGCAAGCTGCTGTTGGTATGCTCCCAGCTGAATTGCTACTTTCTCCCTTCTTTCTTCTAGCACATCCAGATCTCGAGCCTAGGAATGCCTCATTGGTCCCATTTTCTATTCCCTGGGTTCTGATCCCTGGGATGCCGACCTCTAGTGGAATGACTGCTTTTGTGCCATAAGCCATGGAAAATAGGGACTCCCCAGTCGATCTTCTCGGCATAGTCCGATATGCCCAAAGTACATTGGGCAGCTCTTCCACCCACTTTCCCTTTGTAGCTTCCAACATTTTCTTGATCCCATCAAAGATAACCTTATTGGAGGCTTCAGTTTGTCTATTGCTTTGAGGAAAGCTTGAAGTAGAGTAATAGTTCTTGATTTTGTACTTTGCACAGAAGCTCTTGATTAGCTTACTGTCAAACTATGTACCATTGTCAACTATTATTGCTCTTGGGATCCCAAAACCTGGTGATGATGTTCTTCCATATGAAGTTCTTTACATCCACGTCCCAAATTTTTGCAAGGGGTTCAGCTTTTACCCACTTGGTGAAGTAATCTATTACCACCAGCAGGTACTTCCTTTGTCCAGTTGCTTGAGGCAGTTGTCCAACAAGATCCATGCCCCATTGGGAAAATGGCCAAGGGCTAGATACTGGGTTCAAATCTGCTGCTGGTTGATGTATCAAAGGTGCAAACCTCTGGTACTTCTCACACTTCTTGACATAAGGTTCAGCATCTTTCTGCATGTAGGGCCACCAGTATCCCTGAGTAATGGCCCTATGAGCAAGTGATCTGCCCCCAGCGTGGCTTCCTTCATGTATTTTGTACAGAAAGTTTTTAATCTGTGCAGGATGTACACACCTTAGAAGGGGTCCAGTAAAAGATCTTCTATAAAGATGTCCTTCTACTGTCAAACTGAATCTTACCGACTTCAGTCTGATCTTGTGTATTTCTTTACGGTCATCTGGTAGCTTCCCATCTCTAAGGAATACTATTATTGTATCTATCCAACTTGGTCCCATCTCCACACACATTGCTTCACGCTCTGTGTTCAATGGTTCTATGCTTGGACCTGACAAGTAGTCAATCATTATCATTCTTGCCTCTCTAGGTTTCATTGCACTAGCCCGGTTGGCAAGGGCATATGCATGGCTGTTGTCATCTTGGCTAACCTGCTGTAATTGGCAATTTTGAAATAAGGCTACCAGTCTGCCCACCTCTTTTACATAGGCCGACATCCTTTCATCTCAGGTTGCATATTCGCTTGTTGTCTGGTTGACTATAAGCTGGGAGCCACAGAAGACTATTACCTCGTCAGCTTCCATTGCTAGTGCCAGCTTTAATCCTGTAATTAGTGCTTCATACTTCGCTTCATTGTTTGAGGCCTTAAACCCCAAACAAATGGATTGTTCCAGTATCTGCCTATCTGGCGATACTAGTACTACTCTTACCCCCGCTCCTTATCGATTTGAACTCCCATCAACAAACAGCTGGAATGAGTTGTCGATGTAAATACTGCAGGGCTTGAGTTTCTCTTCCTTCCTTTGTTCTACTGTCCCCCGCTGGGTTTTTCCTTGCTCACTTGGACGTTGTATACCTCGGCTCAACGGAGCCCGTTGTATGACGGCATCTGGTGTGAATTCGGCCACAAAGTCGGCTAAGACTTGGCCTTTGATTGCTGTCCTGGGTCTGAATTCCAGGTCATATTGGCCCAAAGCCACTGCCTATTTGGCTATTCTGCCTGTCAGATCTCCTTGCTGCAACAGGGACCTCAAATGCTGTTCAGTTAACACCATAATTTTGCGGGCTTAAAAGTAATGATTTAGCTTCTTGGAAGCCATTACTAAAGCCAGTGTTAACTTCTCTAAGGGCAAGTATCTGGTCTCTGCATTTACCAGGGTTTTACTTACGTAATAAACTGCCCTCTGCTTTCCCTTTTCTTCTCTGACTACTGCTACACTCACTGCATGCTCTGAAATTGCCAAGTATAAGAACACTCCTCTCCAAGTATTGGATATGAGAGAACTAGAGCTGTGGTCAAATACCTCTTCAAGTTAGCCAAGGCGACTTCGCACTCTTCGGTCCATAAGAAGTTTGTGGCTTTCTTCACTAAGATAAAGAAAGGTTTACACTTGTCAGAGCTTCTACTTATAAATCTATTTAGGGCTGCAGCCCTTCCAGTCAACATCTGCACTTGCTTTGTCGATGTTGGGCTTTTCAATTCTATGATGGCCATAATCTGATTTGGGCTAGCCTCAATGCCTTTTCTGGTAACCAAATATCCTAAGAACCTACTGGACCCAACTCCAAATGCACACTTCGATGCATTGAGTCGGAGCCGATATGTTCTAAAGATGTCAAAAATTGTCTTTAAGTCTCCCAGATGACCCTCAGGCTCCTTGGTCTTCACGACCATGTCATCTATGTATACCTCTACTGTTTTGCCAATTAGATGTCTGAACATCTTAGTCACCAATCTCTGGTAAGTTGCTCCAGCATTTTTCAACCCAAAAGGCATCACTCTGTAGCAATACAGCCCTTTTAGGGTGATAAATGCAGTCTTTTCCTTATCTGGGGGGTACATAGCTATCTGATGGTACCCCCTGTAGGCATCTAAGAAGCTCATCCTTCCATGTCCTGAAGTGGCATCCACCAATTGATCAATTTTCAGCAGTGGGAAATTGTCTTTGGGACAAGTCTTGTTTAGGCTGGTGAAGTCCATGCAGACCCTCCACTTCCCATTCTTTTTCTTCACAACCATAGTGTTTGATAGTCATGTTGGGTATTTTATCGCTCGGATGGCTCTGACCTCCAGAAGTCTATCCACTTCTTCTTTCACTGCCTCAACATGCATTAATGTCGGCCTCCTTGCTCACTGGATGACATGTTTGGCCGACCTGTCCACATTTAGTCTATGAAAAATGACCTTGGGGTCAATGTCAGGCATCTCGTATGGCGTCCAGGCAAACACCTCTATGTGGAATGCCTCTAGTTCTTTTTCCTTTTCCTCGGCCAAGCCCGAGCCGAGAAGGAAGAAGCGTTCTTTATCCCCTTGCTGGACAAGGATTTTCTTCAGGGCTTCTTCACTCTTCTCGGCTGGCTTTTTGCTGACGTCCTTCAGGACTTCTATGTCCTCGTCCTCGATCTCTGCTGTTTCTGCTTCTTGTATGTTGCAGGTAGATTTCATTGCTGCCATGGAGCAATTCTTTGCCTGCACTTGATCCCCTCTCACCTCTTCTATTCCATGCTCTATTCGGAACTGCAATAACTGATGCAATGTTGAGGGAACAACCCCCATTGCATGTAGCCATGGCCTTCCCAGGATAGCATTGTAAGGGAAGGGGGTGTCGATTATGGTGAACTCTGTTTTTATCTTCTTGGTGTTAGCTTGCACCTCCAAACTCACTACTTCCAGGGGCCACGTCGGTGTTCCATTGAACCTAACCATTGGGCCATTAGCTGCTCCAGATCATCTTGGTGAAGGCCAAGCTCCTTGTAACACCTGACATATATGATGTTACAAGAGCTGCCCTAGTCAACTAAGATGCGCTTCACTTAGCACTCTCCAATCTAGAGGGATATTACCAAGGCATCATTGTGTGGATGCTGCACCATCTCTAAATCATCTTCAGTAAAGGACACAACTGGTCCTT